AATTTATATTAACTGTTCTTGTGAATAAACTACTCGATGTTTTGAGAAAAGAATTGATATTAATCAAGCTGGTGAGTTTTCCACCAATTTAAAACTTTATCCGTCGGGTAATTATTGTTCTACTTCGCACTCTCGAGCTCATCAAATAATTAAATCTTTGTTTAAAATACATTCCCTTTCATCTTCTTGCTACAATGTATGCAACTTTTAGAATTTATAGTTGTCCTGACATTTCTATTAACTGTTCCCGCATGTCCCACGGCACAGTTACGAACCAAACACACAGCAAGTTTAATTAAGTAAAGTTGTAGCTCTGACCTCGTTGCCTACAAAGTTTGATTGGATGTTTTCGAAAGAGGGAAATTTAAATTTTCTCTATCACGTTGATATATGAAAATTTCAAGAAGATAATCAAATGTCAGAAAAAATGATTACCTACTTATCTCGAGTAGATTATAATTTATGATTTTTTTTAATTTGTGAAATTCTATTAAAAGTAACTTTATCAGACATGCGTAAAGAGAATTAATCTCATAAATTAACACAAATAATTAACATAAATAATATGCTAAGAATGGCAAAACGCTTGGATTTAACCAAAGAACACGGCAACATTGTCCAGAAGCTCAACCTGCTTCATCTAATACTCGCTCTGGAAACTTACGAGAAAAATTATACAGTCTGAAAGCGAGACTCGAGTCTCCGAAACTCATCGAGTCTTTCTGGTGTCGCTGAGAGAGACTGTCAAGAGACAGTCAAAAAAACTGTTTAGCGTCTGTGAACGAGAGACTCGAGTCGCTCATAGAGAGATCCTCATTTCGAATCCAGTCTCTGAACGAGAGACTCGAATCTGAACGAGAGACTCGAATCTGAACGAGAGACTCGAATCTCTCAATAAGTGGTGTCTCGATAGACATGGTTAAAATTTTCTAAGTTCAACATATTTCAGAGATCCCAGTCTTTCTACGAGAGACTCGAGTCTCTCAATTTTTCAGTTTTATTCATTCAGTCTCTCTGTGAGAGACTCGAATCTCTGAATTAACAATTTTATCGTTCGAGTCTCTCATACAGAGACTGTGAGAGATCCATAAAAACACCTAGGCAATAACTGAGAGACTGTGAAAAAATGTGAGAGACGCTCACAGAGACGCTGAAAGACTCTGAGAGACTGAAAATTTTTGTCTAGGGAAAATGTGTTTTTTTCCGTAAATCACTTCCAATTCGTGAATGAGGGAAGTGACTAGTTTTAACTGGATACCTTTCTCGTAGATTGTTTTATTCCAATTTCCTAGGTAATTCTGAGGTACGAATGTTTGTTGTTGGGTGTTGTAGTATCACAACTTGATGAATAGGAATGTTTCCAAGCCGTTAGTACGGTATAACACAAGCATTTATCTTCTAGTCGAGAAGATTTTCGGGTCGGTTACGGACTTACGATTGTATGTAGGTAACTACGGTTGGTTGGAAATCTAATTCGTTTTCTCCAACAACTTGTTGATTTTTATACTAGTGGAAAAGAACACGTCATTAGTTATCAAATAGAATGTAGTGAACAAAAAAACAGAATCAATGATGGAAAAAAAACGACCGCCATCTCAGATTAATTTACACTTTATGTACCTAAGGGTTTTATTAGAAATATAGAAGAGATTCTAATCTTTTAATGTAGTACAGGAAATATAATAGTAATACTAATGTTTTGATGTCAGAAGTACCTAGAACTCGTTAGAAGCTCGCCGTCGACTCACACACGCTCGCGTAAGTCTCACACCGCCTACACCATTCTTTTTGGTAATTGTTTCGTAATAAACTATTTAGCTTCATATCTATACTCATTAAGGAGTTCATTTTGATGGGCATGTATCATTTTACGTTCTTTTGAGAACATTCTTCGATATAGATGAGGCATTCTAATGATTTATTGTTTATTAACCAGTGGCCAATATTGAATAGAAAACGGAGTTGATAGCAGTAGATGATCGTAAAGCAGAAAATATAATAGAAGTGTTCATGTTCTAATGACAGAAGCATCTAATAGGTACTCGTCAAGAGCTCACCGTCGACTCAGACAATCTCGCTTAAGTCTCACACTGCCTACACCATTCTTTTTGGTAATTGTTTTGTAATAAACTATTTAGCTTCATATCTATACTCATTAAGGAATTCATTTTGATGGGCATGTATCATTTTACGTTCTTTTGAGAACATTCTTCGATATAGATAGAACATTCTAATCGTTTATTGTCTGTTAACAAATAGTCAATATGAAAAAACGAAGTTAATAGCAGTAAAAGACCATAATTATAAATAATTAATCATGTTCTGATGTCAGAAGTTCCTAGCACTCATCAGAAGCTCACCGGCGACTCACGCACGTTCACCTAAAAGCATACCGCCTACCATTTTTAATTCGTAATAAACTATTATATTTAACCCATTTATCCATGTTTTCAAACGGGTTAATAAACTATTTATCCCCATATCCATGCTTACAAATGGATTAACTTCGAGAGATGCATTTTTTTTGTGTATCCACTTTTGATATCATTCTTCGATATGGAAGTGATATTTTCGTCGTGTTTTGTTCATGATGCGGATAATATCGTATAGGAAACGAATTTAGCAACAGCAGATGGTCGTAATGCAGAAATTGTTGTGGTAACGCTCATGTTTTGACACCAGAAGTGTCTGGGGATTCACTTTACTACTATCATAAACTTTATTGCCCTATATAAGAGCAATTTATCTTAAGCTTTCGGTATATATTTTTCTACGGAATTTTACCGACAATTTGCGCGGATAGTAATTTTCATGGGTTAGACTCGCCATAAATGGTTTGCCCTACCAGCCCTTTAAAAACGTTATTGCTTTCCCAGAACAATATCGTTGATAACGGCCGTGTTAACAACCACCGAACAGGAAACTAATTGGACATTTAAGAGAAAATTAAATTGATAAGTTGGCGGTTTTGAAAGTTTGCTAAATTTCGACGACTGATATCCTAACTGTATCCAATTGGTTTTAGATTATCTATTTATCTTGCATCCTATACAAAAAAAATAGATTGTCTGTAAACTCGGTTTACTGACGATAGTTGAACGTGACAACGTCATAAGAAAATACTGATGGAATGGTTTCATTTTTCAAAAGAAAATTTTAATTTTATTTGTTTGATATTTTGTATGGATATAGAGAAGGAGGTACATGGAAATGTATTATTGTATAGCAGCTGTCCACGCGGACGCATCGCTCACTCAAGTAGGAGAGAGACAGATGTCGAACGCTGCTGAACGCGGAGGCCTCTTTGTCGCTGGTTCCGCGCTCTCGCTTGCACTTCAAGCCTTAAATGGAACGCCTCAGAGCGAGGTAACGCCGCATGAGTCATGTTTCTTCGTTCGTGCAGCAGGCTCCATCGAATTATAAGACGTTGTCACGTCAAAAAAACTTTTTGGTGTTTCATTCCCACCAGCCACTAATGCTGGTTGGCGGGCAATCCCTCAGTGGGAAGGTAGGGCGGAAGGCCCTCTGTAGCCTCCTTTTAGGGATCGTGGGAATGGGTGGGTGGTGGTTCGGCTGAGAAAGATGGGACGGATGAATGAATGATTATCTGTGGAATATTACTGCCCCAGGAGGCATTTGCCTAGGTGACCCAAGGAAACCACAGAAAAACTTGAACCAAGGCAGACGGACCCGGAATGCAACCGGCGTCCTCCCGAATGCTAAGCAATCGTCTAAACCTCTAGGCCATGCTGCTCGGTCATCTTATACTAGACCAGTACCTTAAAAATTTGTGAAAAGAAGAATCTCTCTGCACCTGACGGAGCCCCTAACATAGTACAGTTAGAAATTCCCAACAGATGATACTACTTTAACTACAACGTTTGCATTACTTTTTGATTTAAAAAAAAGGTAGTTGCCGACTGATTTCTCTAATTTTCTCTACGTCCTCTACGTTCTTTTAATTCGTTTCTCAATATCTATTCATATTATTCCCCCAACATTTAAAAGTGTACTACCCAAAATAGAATCCTTTCATCTTCAAAGCAGGACGCGTCAATATTTCGAATTAGATATATGGTAATAAACAAAAAGTAGGATATATATGCACGTGTGCTTAAGGAAAAAGGGCTTTATCTCTGAATAGTTCCATCAATATCCCACGCAACAAGTTCTTTAATGCGTAAGCTCGTTCTTTTATCGATTTCATTCAAAAAATTCGAATACGTACAGCAACGATTTGAGAACCCTTTAAAAAGGCAGAGTAAATATTTAAGATCAGCGAGGGTGTCCTGTCGGCTATTGTAACGTATATTTACTAAGATTCAGGAGAAAAAGAAAAAAACAAAGCACATAAATCGCACAGAATCGGTAACATTCTTATTTGATTCTTCCTTTGACCTTTGAATGACCTAACAATGTATTCATGCATATCTATTTTTAATCCCACAAAACACCAATCGTACATACGTGTGTGTGTGTGTGTGTGTGTGTGTGTGTATATATATATAATCTTTCCCCAATAACACTGAGAAAATAATAGCATATAATTAGCATGCACTTTATTAACTATTGATTATCGATAACGAAATATTGTGGTTGTTATGCAAAAGCTTAAACATCATTAACCTGTGTTCAACTAAGAAAGGACGTCCTGAATGAATTTACCATTATTTAAATAATTAGTAGCAATAGTTAAAAGTTGAATAGATAAGCAATTAAAAATGTTCACAAATGTTTCGGTGATTGGACTAGAGTAAAGAGATGGTGATGTTACAATCGATTTCTGGTAATACTCATCTAATATTGCAATAGAGGGGCACCCCGAATTCTAATTGGTAATTCGTGACGGGTAGACCGTTCATGATAATTTGGTTTTTTATGTGTTAAGCCAACTTTTATTGATCTATTCAACTAAGTATTCCATTGAAATTATTGTTTCACATAAAGACAATTTAAATATGTTTGTAAAAGTCAATAGTAATTATTATGTTTTGTTTCAGGAATGTTCAGTTTTTATATTCGAAAAGCGCTGTGCCGAAAAGCTTCACAAACCGAAACGAAAAGAAACCGTGACTGAAATCCTTCGAAGTTCGGTGCGTCAATTAGAGAGATTCCGACATCCGAAGATACTTCATGTGCTACATCCGACCGAGGAGTGTTCCGAAACGTTAGCGTTCGCTTCGGAGCCGGTGTATGCGAGCTTAGCGAACATCCTGGCGTTCCAGGAGAACAGTAACCATCAAGGAAGCGTACCGACGACGGGCGCCTCCCAGCAGCTTCCAACTCAGAAACCCCCAAATGCCAGAGAATATCATTTTCTGGATATAGAATATAAATATGGAATTTTACAGGTCAGAAAGCAATTATTCCTTCATTCTGTCGTCTTCGAATTATTCAGAAGATTCGTAAAAAGCCTTTCTATAATTTAGTAGGGAATGACGCCACAAACGGATGGCTTACCTTTCTCTGAGGTCTGATTTTAAGCCCGAGCTCGTTCTCGGTCCCTTAAAATTGATTTAGTAACCACAAACTTTCGGACTTTCCAGTTTTATGACCGTAATAAAGTTTGTATTCTTTCTTCGAACTCGACGCGTTCCGAATTTTAACAAAAGCCGATACGCAGACCCGGTCGTGTTTACAAAACGAAAACCTGATTAAAATGTCTTGCTCTTTTGAAAATTTTCATTTTCCCTTCTCAAAAAAATATGATAAAACCACAAAAATAAATAAAATAAATCCATGCTAGGTGCAGCAAGTATATATAGTATTAAGGCCTTTAAAAGATTACTATGTATAGTTACTGCAGGATTCAATAATGTTCGACAGGAGCAAGAACAAGTGGATGCTTCTATTAGAGAAGAACACTATTGAATCCCATATTAAGCAGCAACTTTCTCCAGATGGCGTTGTCTGCACTTATTTAATGGAGGAGCTGTCAGCGTGTGCTGATGATAACTAAAAAGCTTGACAGTTTCCACAGAATACTGGCCACCTAGAACTTATTGTTTTTTTTTTAAATAAGAGATCATTGAATTATTAACGTAAACAATAATTTCCTATAACTTGATTCAGAAAAACTTAATTAAAAAATAATTTGGTACATACCAGCAAAAAAGAGAAATAGACTTAGTACTTCATACCCTTATGTTTCTTAAATGAAGTCCCACAAGAATTTCGTTAAAAAAGGTTTTATTCTAAAGGACTAAATACATATTGCCAGTCGCCTGAGGATACACTCCAATTGTGATTTATTTACAATGCCTTGGAAATTCGCGATCCCAAACGTATGGAACACAGTAGGAGAATCAAAATCATTATTAAATATTATAAATATGCTCACATTCTATGGAAAAATAAGTAAAAAAAAATATTCAGTTTAATTTTAGAAACACATATTGTAGTACAATGATGTGGACGAAGTTTTAAATGAATTATTTATTGACCTGCTACTACATTATTATTTCAGTAACTGCAATCAAAAGGTATCTACCTGTACAGAATTCCAGAAACTAGCTAGGAATTTGATTTAGATCGAGTCCCAACTTTAAGCGGTTTCTGGAAAAATTAACAATTCACAATACAGAATATTTTTTTAACACTCGGTATGTATTGCATAGTAATATTTGATAAGAATGAGG